TATATATAATGTATATTTATAGCAAATATATATAAAATGTTTGCCTATGCACATACATATGCATATTACATACAGATGTAAATAGACCAACAGACTCCTGTCTATGCTCTTAACTGCTATGCCATGGTATATAGTCAATGTATACTCAGTTTGGTCCCCGGGAAAGGAGAATTAGCTATCTTGTCCCTATGCTTTGTTTTGATTGTAGCAATTTATTTTGGTTGTTGTAGTCAGGGGTAGGGTTGCACTGGTTCCTGCTACAGCTCTACAAGTAAACTGAGAAAATCAACTACCTTTTTATATGATAAAAATGGCTCAGCAGAATATTTTCTCACACATATCAGATGCCAGAATAGGCAATAACATCAAAAAAAAAAAAAAAGAAAGAAAGAAAAAATAGGCCTGTGGAAATGAACCCACTGGGATGCCTGGATCTATAAAAATTAATAACTTAGATAGCACTCATGTGAATACACTTCAAAAACAATGTGTTGACTAGTCAATGACACTGCATTCTTTCAGAGTAAAAGGACAGCTCTGAGATAACCAAACATTCCTACTCTAAGGTTTAACATTCTGTCCTCATGATTTTCCTCCAAGGCTTATTAGAAGAAGACAACCAGTGGATGACCCAGATAAACAGACTCCAGAAATTAATTGATAGACTGGAAAAGAAGGTCGGTGTCTCCTTTATTTTCTCTCTCACTTTTCAAGAGATTCTGACTCAGAAATTCCCCATTGCCTCAATATCTGTGGCTACTTCTTGGATAGAGTGACAGCCAGGATCTCAATGATCCCATGAACAACTAGTTGGTAGTTATTTGAGATTTTGTCATCACTGTTTTAAAGTAAACATATAGGCTCATGTTAATTCTTCTCCCTCTCAACTCTAATATTAGCTCCTTACAGAAACTTTCCAGACTCTTCCTCTATCAGATTGCCTTCCCTTGTAAAAAAGATTATAATTTCTAATTTACATATACTTACTGTACACTTTTTGTAGGATTTAGTGTGATTTTTTTCAAAGCATGTATACAATGTGTAATAATCAAGTCAAGGTAATAAATCTACCCATCATCTCCAAAATGTAATCATTTCTTTGTGTTAACACTTTTGAATGTACTTTTCCTGCTATTCTGAAATATACACATTGATAATATATAAGATTCCTTTCATAAAATTACCTTCATAAATCTTTGTAACTCCTTCTCAAACCCTTACAACATAGACCAAACCTTTAATGATATGCTTTAAACATTCAGAATTTACCCCTTCTCTCCTTTCAATTTAAAATAATTCAGCCATTTCACTCTAGGACAAAAATTTTACCACACAAAAATTTTTCCTATAATTTTTTTTTAATTTTTCTTACTCAAATATACCTTCACAATTACTTTCTTTTCAGAATCTCAGACTTTGTGCTTGAGTGTCTGAGACAATAATACCATTAACAGAATTGGGAGAGACAAGTGAGAGATAATTGGTAAGGTGAGGCAAGGTGGTGAACTGGTTTTTTAGAAGTGTTCATTTCAATGTATAATAGAATACTCACAAATACCCAGTCAGGGCACCAGCAGGTGGCATGGTGGTTGAGATGCTAGATTCTCACATGGCTGACCATGGTTTGAGTCCTAGACCTGGCAACTTGCTTTCTCACTCTCCCCTTCTCTGTACCCCCCTGGTCAAAAGTGAAGAATAACAACAATAAAATTTTTAAAAAAAGAAATGCCCAGTCAGTTGTTAATAAGTATTAATTTAGGCTAACAAGTTAATGTATTAAGAGTCATTTCCACAAATGTCAGGTCTCCAAAATGAGTAAGGTCCCTAAGAAAGAGATTCTGTTGAAGAAGAGCCCTGCTCCAGACACACTGCCATTATGTCTGCATTGGTTAAGTCAATATTGACCACTTACCGGAGCAATACCTAAACTATAACCTTGCTGCAAATCATTTTTCCTCTTTCCTTGCTTAATTAATTGATATGTGAACTGAGACTAAAAAGATTCCAAAGAAAAATGGTGGCTATAGATACTAGTTTCTCAATGTTGAAAGGCCTGGAAATCCAGGATTCCTATTTAAAAACTAAGCCTCATTGAAACATAAGGGTTCAATTATTAAATAAGTTTTAATTCATTTGAAGAACACAAATACCTCTTTTAAAGTGGTTTTGAAGTTCTTAGTCAAACTTTATTTGATATGTGAAATGTATACAGTTAGTTTTAAAGGAATGGCCCAAACTTTGGTCATACCTTTCTTCCAACTTTAAATCAAAGTACTGTCACATCTCTTTTTCTCCCTCCCTTCCTATGAAAGAGTTTCATTTTCAGGACAGTGACCAAGGTTTGCTAAAAGCACAATGTGATGATTTTCAGCTTGGGGCCCCAGCTGTGTGAAGCCCAGCATGAGCTTTCTTAATGAATGGAGAAGCAGTGCAAGTTCAGTTTTCTTCTAAAACTTAGATTTAGATTATTGGAGAAAAATTACCCAATTGCTAAACAGTGGCTGAGTACATGTCATTGCATTGCTGACTACCTTGTCGCCTGTAGTTGTTAGCACTAGTTTGATCTCCCCACTAAAAGAAACCGTACCCATGGTAGAACAGATGTTATATTTTCTCTCCATTAAGTATTTATTGATAAATCCTTCCTGTACTGGAAACCAAACCCAACTCCATTCATGTGGGGAAAAATAATAGGTGAAATTTCTACAAGCTTCTTTAGGTATTCCTTCTGTCCATTCCAGGTTTTGAGTACATATAAAGATATGCTGAGGTTATATCTTATGCTCTGCGTGAACCCTGAGAAAATACCTTCAATGTGAAACAAACCAATGAGGACAACAATAAAACTTTTGTTTTTTAGGAAGTCTTCAGTATATCATCAACTCAAAGAATCTTCATTTGAAGGGGTATAATCAAGGATGTCACATTTGTGTAATGTTTTAACATTTTCTTATCTGAGATTAAAGAAGGTAGAATTGAAAGTGTACCTGAGTTGGTATCAGGGTCATAGTGGTCAAGATTACTATGTTACAGTGTTTATCTGTAAAGTACTTTTTGATTTTTAGTTCACACCTATAGTATTATATAACTTTTGCCATTTATTTTTTCAAAATTTATTGAGTACTCTGTGTTAGGCCCTATTCTGGCAGAGGAAATAGAGCAGTGAACAAAGCAGATAAGATCTTTTGTACCTAGAGAGACAGACAAAACAAGTCAACAAACCCACAGAAGGAGATAATTTCAGGTAGTAGAAATCACGACGATTCTATTGCACGGAAGTAGAGAATGTAATGGTGGATACGGAAAGTTCCAAAGGAGAAAGGAGAAAAGGTGACTAAAAAGTACAAGAGTACATAAGTGTGTATCAGTAGACTAGGTTATAGACTACTATAGCACAGTACAGTACAGGTAGTTGGTAATAATTAAATACATATTTCAAAATAACAGAAAAATACATTTGAATGGGTGTAATACAAAGAAATGATCAATTTTAGAGATGGTGTATATGTTGATTGCCCTGACTTGATCATTGCACATTGTATACATGTTTGGAAAAATCACACTGTACCCCATGAAGATGTACAACTAACTGTTATATGTAAATCAAAAGTAAAACTTTTATAAAAGAAGGCAGAATGATAGAGGGGGGATATGGGAATGTCTCTTACAGAGATGGTATTGGAGTTGTGAAAGGTGAGAAGCAGTTAGCTACATGAAAATCGAGGGATAGATTTAAGGCACAGGGTAGAGTAGAAGCAAATCCCAGAGAAGTTAAATAACTTGACTAACATTCCACAAAGGAACAGTGGAGCTACGTGACTCTCCTAGGAACAGGTTTCTGTTTTTTCAGACAGTCAGGATTTTTACAACTTTCAATATATTTATTTGAAGGAATTATTTTGCATAGTCTTCACTTGGAAAAAATACTAGAACATATAGTCACAGAATGAAATCTGTGATTACAGATATTACATGCTTGATTTCACTGGTGACATTAGTGTTATTCATTGGTCATTGGTCACTGCATAAGACTCTAAGGTTTTTATAGAATTTTTTAGCAAATATCAATTGTATTTTCTCTTTTAAATTCACTTTCTTTTTAGTAAAGAAAAATTAGCAAATGTATTAAAACAATAACACTCATGTCTATCACAGTCTCCCAAGAAACATCACATAGAGATGTGACAGTACAATAAGAAAAATCAGCCTGATAAAGATACTCATTCTAGCTTTTTCTTTTTTCTATCATCTCCTTGTTTTGATGAATCTCTCTTGTCTCCACTTTGCTCTCTAATGGTATTAGTGAAGTAAACCTAAAGCAATAACAAAATATCTGAAATGGCTCCTTATAATTGATAAATGGGTATAAAGAGTCTTTACTAGAACACTTCAGCTTTTAAAAATCAGAATTATTTTATCTCTTTACAGATAATGAGATCTTTTGGTTCAATATTAGCCATAGAATTATTACCATTTGAATATATAGTGCTTTCTTTTTTCTTTTTTTTTTTTTTTTTGAGAAAGATTTTTGCTATAGGGCATGTGTGCTTGCTGGAGAGACAGAGATAGAAAGTGAGAAATCACCCCCAGGGTAGATGGCCATGCCACAATCCCTTCTTCTCCATTCTTCTATTGGAATTTTTGGCATGCACATACACATACCCAGCGTGAGTTTCAAGCCACTGCGTCCAGGACTCAAACCATGGTCAACTCTGTGGGAGTCCAGCACCTCAATAACTATACCACCTGTTGGCTCAGGATATACAGTGCTTTTTAGAATTATCTAATACCTGCTATTCCCTCATTTCTCCCTGTAACTGAAGGATCTCAAACTTGAACCACTGGAAGAGGAAATTATTGAAGGGAACACTAAATCTGTAAGTACTTTTTTCAGGTCAAAATTTAGAAATGTATACTTTTGAAAACATGATTTAATCTCTCCAAAATTAGTTACTATCTCAATGAAAAATTGACTAAGTGACACATGTACATATTTCATTTTACATGGCTAAGTAGTATTTTCTAAATTGTGATTTGTGAAAACCTAATATCTACTTCACAAGGTTTTTGTGAAAGCTCCTGGCATATAAAAGACGCAAGGTTGAAATTTTATTTATGTATATATATTGACTTATTGAGTGGATGATTATGACTGACAGAGAAGGGCAGTAAACTCACTTTATAAACTATGCTAGATTAAATACTGTATATAACTGAGCAGAAACCTGATCTTATTCATTGTTGTGTTTCTATCATTTAGCTTAGGGCAAGACACATTGTAAATGCTCAGAAATTATTTTTCAAAGAAAATAAATTGATGTTCAGAGAGAAGGAAATACATTCCTAGGAAAAACATCTATCCAGAGTGGTGGCAATTTACAGAAACTGAAAGAAGACAGTGATCCTAATAGGTACACTAAGATACAACAAAAATAAACTAGTGAATAAATTAATTAAAAAGCAACACATATCATTATTTATTATTCTACTTTATTTTGAGGCAAGAATTTATGCCATATCTGTTTCAGAAAATTGGATCTTCCTTGTACATTTAGTGGAAATCTGGATTTCAAAATCTTGGGTGTCTATTGAAAAATACTTTTTTTTAAATTTTTGCCATAGGGCATGTGCACTCCCTGGAGAGAGACAGAGATAAAGAGAAAGGGAGATGGGCATGCTACAGTCCCTTCCCCTTCATTCATGTGATTTTCAGGCAATTGGGCCAGGACTCGAACTGCAGAGTTGGCCACGTGGGATCTAGTACTTAACTCCCACCCTACCTGCTGACTCCAAAACACTTTTTCTTAATAACCTAAGTGTAGTACATGTTTTATAGCTGTTAAAGAATTAGTCACATTTACTTAAAGCAAAGCAAAAAAAAATTTTTTTTTTCTTTTCTTTGTATCACATTTATTCCACAGCACTGACTACATGATGGAAGGTGAGAGCCATCTATGTGGCAGGCTCCTGGCTATCTCTGCAAATCCACAACTCAAAGTCTTCAGAAGAAACTTGGGGGCTCTTCAGATTAATTTAATAATGGCTACTACAGTTAGAATCCTATAAATATGCCTACTGTCCCCTAACGTAGCTGTATTTTTAACTACAGTTTAGCTTCTGTTCCTCCAAAGACAGGGATAAATTCAGTTATTCCATCAAGAACCCAGAATTTTAAAATAGTGTAGACTTGGACTGGAAAGTAAGAAGAGAAGGGCTAGTGAGCACACACAGTAGCATGTTAGCAGGTCCCTGAGTCACCAGAATTGCTAACCTTGTGGTCATGCATCTGTTATTTCACAGGCTTGTGTGTAGGAAAAAGTATACTCCAGTCAAGAAAAATAAGCATACGTTTTTGTTTTGTTTTGTTTTTGTTTTTGCCATAGAGTGTGTGCTATCACCAGAGACAGAGTGAGAGGGAAAGTGAAAAATCACCCGCCATGGAGGATGGCCACATTACAATCTCTTTTTCTCCATATTCCTCCTGAGATTTTGGATGCACATACATGTAGCCAGCATGAATTTCAAGTCCTCAGGTCCTGGACTTGAACCATGGTTGACCACATGGAAATCTAGTGCCTTGACCACCATACCACCTGCTGGTCTGAACTTATTCTTCTAATGTTGTGAAAGACAATTGTTTATTCTTAGTAATTTCCCAGTATGAGATTATTTTCTCTCTTTAGCACTCTTGTTGAAAAATCATGTAAGGCTTGTTTGTGCAAGGTGGCAGCTATTCCATTTGGTGGTCTCTGACAGTAGACAGGCCAACATCTACCTTAAAAGTTCAACATACACAACATTGATAATTCTATTGTGCATAGAAGTATTTTTAGAACATAGAATTGGGCAAAGGTGACACAGCTGTAGGTATTGTTTAAAAGTGGGAAAAGATAATTCCTTTAACTATTCTGTTAGAGGTAAAATAATTGGGTTTTTTTTTGGGGGGGAACTACACATACAGTAATGGTTTGAACTGTTTTTTGTTTCTTTGTTTTGTTTTTCTTTTTTTAGAAAAATGAATAGGATATCTATTATTCAAAATTGTATTTTTGGGGGGCTAGTAGGTGGCCTAGTAGTTAAGGCACTGGGTCCCCTTGTGGCTGACTCCACAGTTTGAATCCTGGACCTGGGAACTTGAGAATCACACTGGGTGTGTGTGCGTGTGTGCCTAAAATCCCAAAAGGAGAAAGGATTACAGCATGGCTATCTCCCCTGGGGGATAATTTCTTGTTTTGTCTCCCTCTCTCTCTGTCTCCAGCAAGTACACATGCCCTATGACAACAACAACGACAACAAAAAAATCTAAAAGAAAAGTTGTATTTTTCATTAACGGTAGTACATCCATTTTTATCAAATAATTCCTATAAAACCTCCTATATTCAGAGTGTCCTAAACCATTTTTCACTGTTCTTTCAGAGCTGGTACTCATAAAATCTCAGAAAATCTACCTTAAATTTCTCAGGATTCAAAAAGTTCAACTTGTCAGAATAGTCATACATTTAGATTATCTGGGCCTCACAAACTGATTTGTGTGTGTGTGTGTGTGTGTGTGTGTGTGTGTGTAAATGTCTGAGGAAGGAAGAGGTAAATATTTCTGTATGTCTTACTTAGTTTTCTAAGTAAAATCTAGGAACCAAGAGTTTAATTTTTCCAAATCATACTGACATCAAAATACATAACTAGAGGTCAGCTCTGCTCTATGTATTCTTTAATCCTCTAGTACAGGAGTTGGCAAACTATAGTCTATCACCTATTTATGTACATGATTTTATTCTAACACAGCCACACCCATCTGTTTCTGTATTGTCTATACCTGCTTTCACACTACAAAAGCAGAGTTGAAGAGTTGCTCTAAGAACACAAAACCTGGGACTAGCAGATGGTGTAATGGTTATGTCACTGGACTCCCATGTAGTCGCCTGCAGTTCAAGTCCCAGACTCAGAGGCTTAAAACTTATGTGGGGCACGTGTGCATGCATGCCCAAAGTCCTGAGAAGAGAATGGAGGATAAGGGATTGTAGCATGGCCATCCCTCCTGGAGGGTGATTTCCCGCTTTCTGTCTCTCTGGCGAGTGCACATGTCCTATAGCAAAAATCTCTCAAAACTAAAACAAAGCACAAAACCTAAAATGTTTACTATCTGGAGATTTACAGAAAACACTTGAACCCTAAACTAGCAGGTCTTGTTCATGTAACAATCTCAGGGATACAAGAGGAGGAGGAACTCACAAACCTCTCAGGGCTAAACTTGAAACTGGCATACCGTGGTTCTGCCATATTCTATTAGTCAAATCATGTTAAAAGTTCAGCTAAATCCAAGGGAAGCAGAAATAGAATCCATGTGTCAATAAGAGGAGCTGAAGAGTCACATTATCAAAGGACATGAGTTCAAGTAGCAATGAAAATTCTGGTCATTTTTGCATCTATCCCATTGGATCACATAAAAATTGCTTTCAGGCTGAAAGAATTATGGTAGAATAGGTGAATATATTTATATAACTCACTAGGATAGCCCATGAGAATCATCTGAGTCATTGTTAATCACAAATGTCTGATGAAAACAATCCTTGCAGACTGCTGGAAAAGAACATGCTCACCATTACTTTGGCAGAGATTAACTTTGCTTGGTTATTAATATTAAAACCATGTGCCTATAAGAGACAGACCTGGGACTGACTGTTCTCTACAAAATCTTAGGAGATAGCTATTAGCTTGCATGTACTGATTCTAGATTCATGATCCTGAGAGAAAATAAAGCAATGTTCCATTAAAATGGTTGAACCCATTAAGATAATTAGACTATGAAAACAAATAGACCCAAAATGTAAAATTGTCCCAACATGATAAACATTTATAAATCAATAAACAGTTCACACAATGATTCAGGAGAACAAGATTCTTTCAGCTGTGATTCTACCATCCCTAGGGTATGTCTTCATTCTACCAACAGAAAATGGAAAGAGAATATGAACAAGGTTCACATCCTTTTTAGAAGTCTTGGCTCAAAAACGGTACACAATATTTCTGATCATATTCTATTGGTGAGAACTAATTAATTGGTTACACCTAGATACAAGGGAAAAATGAAATGACTGCTAATCACTACTTTAAAAAAATAATTATTCATTTAATTTTATTTATTATTGTTCTTCAATTTGACTAGAGAAAGAGAGAGAAAGCCACCAAGTCTGGGATTTGGACCAGTCAGCCAAATCCCAGACTTAGGGTGTAGGAGTCCAACACCCTAACCACCACACCAGCTGCTGGCCCCAGCTAATCACTGCTTATAAAGGGGACACATGTCATTGTAAAGGACATTTTAAAATTTTTTTTTATAATTTTTGTACAATAAAATCAAGGATATTACCATTAAGGACACTTTCTTTAGCTTCCGTTATTAGAGGCATAAAGAATATCCTGGCTATATTTCAACCTTTATATTAATACAGTTTTATACTTGGAATGGTCATGGCCTTCCTTGATCACATTTTTTGGATGATCATTTGCTTTGTGAGGAGGGACAGGAAGGCCAATAGGGATTGGCTTAAACAAGACTCTGTGACAGCCAATGCAGTAACCCTTGCCCCTTCCTTGGCAGCACATAATGCTTGTGCAGCGTCAGATGTCTGTGATAGAAGAGGATCTGGAAGAATTCCAACTTGCCCTGAAACACTATGTGGAGAGCGCATCCTCCCAAAGTGGATATTGTCTATACCTGCTTTCACACTACAAAAGCAGAGTTGAAGAGTTGCTCTAAGAACACAAAACCTGGGACTAGCAGATGGTGTAATGGTTATGTCACTGGACTCCCATGTAGTCGCCTGCAGTTCAAGTCCCAGACTCAGAGGCTTAAAACTTATGTGGGGCACGTGTGCATGCATGCCCAAAGTCCTGAGAAGAGAATGGAGGATAAGGGATTGTAGCATGGCCATCCCTCCTGGAGGGTGATTTCCCGCTTTCTGTCTCTCTGGCGAGTGCACATGTCCTATAGCAAAAATCTCTCAAAACTAAAACAAAGCACAAAACCTAAAATGTTTACTATCTGGAGATTTACAGAAAACACTTGAACCCTAAACTAGCAGGTCTTGTTCATGTAACAATCTCAGGGATACAAGAGGAGGAGGAACTCACAAACCTCTCAGGGCTAAACTTGAAACTGGCATACCGTGGTTCTGCCATATTCTATTAGTCAAATCATGTTAAAAGTTCAGCTAAATCCAAGGGAAGCAGAAATAGAATCCATGTGTCAATAAGAGGAGCTGAAGAGTCACATTATCAAAGGACATGAGTTCAAGTAGCAATGAAAATTCTGGTCATTTTTGCATCTATCCCATTGGATCACATAAAAATTGCTTTCAGGCTGAAAGAATTATGGTAGAATAGGTGAATATATTTATATAACTCACTAGGATAGCCCATGAGAATCATCTGAGTCATTGTTAATCACAAATGTCTGATGAAAACAATCCTTGCAGACTGCTGGAAAAGAACATGCTCACCATTACTTTGGCAGAGATTAACTTTGCTTGGTTATTAATATTAAAACCATGTGCCTATAAGAGACAGACCTGGGACTGACTGTTCTCTACAAAATCTTAGGAGATAGCTATTAGCTTGCATGTACTGATTCTAGATTCATGATCCTGAGAGAAAATAAAGCAATGTTCCATTAAAATGGTTGAACCCATTAAGATAATTAGACTATGAAAACAAATAGACCCAAAATGTAAAATTGTCCCAACATGATAAACATTTATAAATCAATAAACAGTTCACACAATGATTCAGGAGAACAAGATTCTTTCAGCTGTGATTCTACCATCCCTAGGGTATGTCTTCATTCTACCAACAGAAAATGGAAAGAGAATATGAACAAGGTTCACATCCTTTTTAGAAGTCTTGGCTCAAAAACGGTACACAATATTTCTGATCATATTCTATTGGTGAGAACTAATTAATTGGTTACACCTAGATACAAGGGAAAAATGAAATGACTGCTAATCACTACTTTAAAAAAATAATTATTCATTTAATTTTATTTATTATTGTTCTTCAATTTGACTAGAGAAAGAGAGAGAAAGCCACCAAGTCTGGGATTTGGACCAGTCAGCCAAATCCCAGACTTAGGGTGTAGGAGTCCAACACCCTAACCACCACACCAGCTGCTGGCCCCAGCTAATCACTGCTTATAAAGGGGACACATGTCATTGTAAAGGACATTTTAAAATTTTTTTTTATAATTTTTGTACAATAAAATCAAGGATATTACCATTAAGGACACTTTCTTTAGCTTCCGTTATTAGAGGCATAAAGAATATCCTGGCTATATTTCAACCTTTATATTAATACAGTTTTATACTTGGAATGGTCATGGCCTTCCTTGATCACATTTTTTGGATGATCATTTGCTTTGTGAGGAGGGACAGGAAGGCCAATAGGGATTGGCTTAAACAAGACTCTGTGACAGCCAATGCAGTAACCCTTGCCCCTTCCTTGGCAGCACATAATGCTTGTGCAGCGTCAGATGTCTGTGATAGAAGAGGATCTGGAAGAATTCCAACTTGCCCTGAAACACTATGTGGAGAGCGCATCCTCCCAAAGTGGATGCTTACGGTAAGTCCTCCAGCAAAAGAGCCTTAGCTTACTAGGCCAGGGCAAAGGTAAAGGCGTTTCCTACCTTAGTTGAGGGTGAGGGTCTAATAGGCAGGCATTTGAGAATCTTCATGTTAAATTATGCCGAGCGTTTCAACCCTTTGGGCAATGCTGTTTGCAGAGTTTAACTGGACGTTTTCTCTTTGATCCTTGGCCCCTGTACTGATTTGATCTTTAGAGGCACCAAGGGAAATAAAATGGAGAGAACAATTTGAATGAGGAGTTTCAAATATATTGAAATTCTCCTTTTGTATCCAGGCAGCCTACACTCTGATTTAAAATCATCTCTGGTAGATGAGGCTCCAACTCTCAGGCAGCCAACTTTGATTGCTCCCTTGGCAACATGCCCTATGGTTTAATGACCATTTCAGCCATTATGGAACTGCATAGGTCTCTAGAGTCATGATTTCAGAACTTGGTCATTTAAAAAAAAAAAAAAAAACAAAGGCAGCAGCTCTTTTCTTCTTTCTTTCTATGGCCCCTACCAGCTTAGGTTTTAAGTTTCTATTATCTCAAGCTACTGTTATAAAATATACTATTTCTCATCTTCATTTTTTTCCACTCCAACCAGTTCAATAAACAGCTAGAATAGCTTTTATTAGGAACAGTTCTCATAGAATTCCCTAAATCAAGAACCTCTAATCACACTCTAATAAGTATCATCAAATGCTAGATTTTGTCCTGGCCCTGTTTGTCCTACCAACAGACCCCAGAATCCATATCACTACACCATTTGTTCTCACCTGAACACCCTTCCTCAGCTACATACAATTGTCTATTGGCTTTACAGTATTTTCTTTTTAACCCCCACTGCTTGACAGTATAATCTGTTCACTCCCAACTGCTGTGCCTAAGATCTAGCCATCTCCCTCCCAGAAATATGCACCCAGATGCAGGTCTCTGCCAGCCCATGGTCTATCCCAAGTCTAGAAGCCATTCCCCAACTCACCTGCTTTCAGAAAACTACAACTGATTCTATCCCTACCTTGTGAGTTTATTTAAACTGCATGTCATAATGCACATCAAATACTGCTTTGGGAGTTTTTAGATGTTTGTATGTGTGTGTGTGTGTGGATGCACGCGTGTGTGCACACGTGCATATAAACACATATTTTATGTCTCTGAATGTTTCACTTTTCCTCACAATGATTAACAGTGTTTTATTCATACTCTGGCAGAATAAAAATTTCCCACCTAAGAAGTCTGGTTCTGGAGATACATGTGTGATTTAACTACTTTGTGGTTTGAAAAAGGTCCTTTAGCAGCTCTGAGTCTGTTTCCTCATCAAGAACCTTACTAAGATGGTTGTGAGGGTTAACTGAGACAGTCCAAGTAGTGTTCAGTATAATGCCTCCCACCCACTGGAGATCATGAAATGTGAGTTGAGGTCACTACTGCATTTACTGTTGCTTCCTCAGTGTCCAGCTGGCTGACCTTCTCAGTGCTATTAACAGTCCATGATCTTCCCCATAGTGCCTTTGTAATAGGAACAAAGGGAATGTGTGCTTCCATTATTATTTTTGTTATGCTATCTCACTTCAAGCTCAGAAGGACATAAATAATCCCACTTTAAGTGACTGGAGAGATTTGTCAAGGTGGGAACATATGTAGTTTTTAAAAACTTACTCATTTGAAGATAGAATTGAATACTTGAAAACCGCAAAAAGAAGTCTCCATGATGCAGGCAGTAGCATACTGAACTGCAGTGCTGGAAGCCATATGCTGACCTCAAGTTCATATCCCTAGCCTGGATGGCCTGAAATAGGCCAGCTGCACACATGTATGTGCATGTGTACATGTATGTGTGTAAATGCCCAAGTTCCTGATGAGCTAAAGGACTTGGGGGAAGGAGATCACAGCATGATCAGACACACTGAGAGAGTACTTCTCTCTCTCTCTCTCTCTCTCTCTCTCTCTCTCACACACACACACACACACACACACACACACGCAAAAGCCTATATACAGAATACTTTCCACAGTATAAATTACAGAAAGTAGAGTTCAGTAAATAAACTCTTTTTTGGTTAGTGAGGATATAAACAAGAGAGTCTGCTGTTTTGGTATATCAAAGTCTCTAGCGACTGACTAGATATTTTACATTTATAAAAGGGGCATTTAAGTTGTTTTTTTCTTCTTCTTCTTCAGTTTCAGAAACCCTGCTTTAATGTGTATTGGGAAAATGACCTCAAGCTATTAGAACAGCCCCAGGGAGAAAGAAACAGAATGTGGGCAAGTACAAGAATAGATAGATTTGTGCCGCCTGCTGAAAATTCTGTTCTCTCAGTAACCACGAAAAATTGCTCCCTCAGCTCCTGCTGTGAAGTAGAGGGAAGAGTATCCATTTCCTGTAAGACACATAGAGACTTTCAGCCTCTTCTTTCCTTCTCAAGTCTGGTTTATTTCTTAGCAGCTTTTCATTCACTTATTTCTGATGCTTCAGCTAATTTCTTTCTTTTACCTCAATTCTCAAACATAGATTTTATCAGATAGAATGAGCATCACAGAATCACCACACACAGGTGGAATATATGTGAAATACACCTTAGGCCACTATGCATGTCCAAATTCAACTTTTCAGTTATACCAGTTTGTCAAATTCAATTTTCTACTGGTACTCATTGATAAAAAATCAAGTGCCACTCATGCCTTCACTCATGCTCCACTGTGCCTAGAACAATTGCATGTGCTCGGCTGGTCAAGTAAAGCTCTGTGAACTATCAGGTTTGTAGTTTCTTCTTCCATGTTTAGCTCAGCCTCACATGGTTATACCCAAAATGCTGCCATAAAATAGAACAAAATAAAATTTTCTGTCTTGGGACCAGCAGTTAGCATAATGGCTATGTCGCTGAACTCCCACGTAGTCGACCGCGGTTCGCGTCCCAGATCCGGTGGCTTAAAACTCATGCCAGGCGCATGTGCGTGCGTGCCCAAGATCCCGAGAGGAGAATGGAGGAGAAGGGATTGCGGCGTGACCATCCCCCCTGGGGGGTGATTTCTCGCTTTCTGTCTCTATGTCTCTGTCTGTCTGGCGAGCTCACGCGCCCTATAGCGAAAACCTCTCCAAAAATTTAAAAAAAAAAAAAAGAACAGAAATCATTGTGCACTTGACATGGATTTTGTATCCATTCTCTAATATTCAGAGTAATCATTAAAGGCACATATTACATCCAACTTAGAAAAAGTCTCTAGTGAGTTAAACAACTTGCTAAGTTTGTGTGACTCCAAAACCCAAATTTAATCCTTCTTGCCTATATTTGGTCATATTTGAATTAGAATATCCTGGACTGTGATTAACCAGGACAAGATCCCTCCTGTTTCAATTTCAACAAGGTCTTACTTTCTTAAATTCAGACAACTAAATTAGAGAAGTTTTTGCCTTAAGTATTTGACTAGGGAACTTGGAAGTTTGGGGATTAACAAAGGCTTTGTTATAATATTGGAAAAAAAACAAACAGATCAATTGTGTGGACCCAGGCAAAACACACACACAGAGTTTGATGCTATTTATTTTGTAATCATGAAATCTCATTAGTCACCTTGTTTGCCATGAGAAGGTACAAGTGAATATATGTGCTAGATACAGTGTATACTCAGAAACGAGACTATGTTTTCAAGAACCTTAGAATCTAGTTCCAAAGTAGGACACTCATCATAAAGACAGCAATTAAAACCTTGTTGTGAGTCTAAAATTTCACAGCTTTTCAACAGAATAAAATGATTAGTAAAGTCACTTTCAGCTGTAAAATTCTAGAACTTGAATGGGTTCAAAACTTCATTGGAAAGGCCTCAGGATTTTTACAATCCATAAATATGGGATTTTAAGAATCAACCCAGGGACCAATAGATGGTGTAATGGTCATATCACTGGACTCCCACATAGTTGACTGTGGTTCAAGTCCCGGACCTGGAGGCTTAAAACTAATGCCAGGCACGTGTTCCTGCTTGCCCAAAATCCCAAGAGGAAAATGGAGGAGCAGGGATTGCAGCATCTCCATCCCTCTTGGGAGTGATTTCTTGTTTTTTTTCTCTCTCTCTCTCTCCTTCTCTCTCTATCTCTTAGGGGAGTGCATGCACCCTTATAGCAAAAATCTCTCTTTAAAAAAAAATACAAATAAAAAAATTAATCCTGAGACATACTTACATGCTTAAAAACTAAAGGTAGTGGAACCAGCAGATGGCGTAATGGCTATGTTGCTGGACTCCCATGTAGTTGAATGCGGTTTGAGTCCTGGACCCAGTGGCTTAAACTCATGACAGGGATATGTGCATGAGTGCCCAAGATCCTGAGAGGAGAATGGAGAAGAAGGGATTGTGGGCGTGGCCATCTCTCTGGGGGGTGATCTCTCACTTTGTTTCTCTCTGTCTTGCTCTGTCTTTCTGGCAAGTGCAGGTAACCTATAGCAAAAAAAAACAAAAAAATCTCAGTAAAAAAAAAAAACTAAAGGTGTATCAAAACAGTAATCATTGATCAGTGTTTCTATAGATATAATAAACTGGCAACCAGGCCTTGATATGGAGAAATGTGAGGATTGTCCCACTTATGGTATCTTTGTTTTTTGGTGGTGGTTAGTGAGTTAGCCCTATGAGCTAAGGTGGGGCACCCATGCCACAGTAAGTACAAAGGGAAGACAAGGTATTCTTAGTTAGTACAGTCACATAAGCAAAAGCTTGGAGGTGTGTTAATACAGTTTTAAATTTAAATAACTGAAAGCCAATCATTCAAACATAAATTGTTCTAAAAATTATTTCATAATTTTGCTGTTTCATTGCCATCATTGCATGCCATTATGTATATCAGTGTCCAATAGCAATATCCTTAAATGTCATTGCTACATAAATTGGTCTTGTTTGGCCCTTAATAGAAAGTACCCAGTCTATATAGCAATTCTGATTAGCATTTCTACCCATGTCTCTTTGAGACAAAAATCTACATTCAGTCATCAATGCATCCAGTTCTTATCACCATTTTCATAGTGAAACCTTTAGAGCCTAAACTCTGGCTTACTAACTACTATTTGTGTGACCTTGGGCAAATTATTTAGTTTCTTCATGCCTCAGTTTCCTTATCCATAAAAATTAGATTTAAAAAAATGGAGAAATCAATAGCACCCATTTTTGTCAGATAGGAATGTTGTTACTTATAATTTAGAGAAAGAATAGTAACAGTCACTTATGTCATAAGCAATGCTTACTATTATTCTCAACAAGAAGTCTAGAGGTAGCTATGTCAAAGTTAGTTCTATAGTTTAATGTTGTCATCATAGATCCCAGATCCATCTTTCAGCTCTGTTATCTGGGTCTCTATCAAACAGCCTATCATGAGGGAAAAAAGAGAAGGAAGCAATCGCAACATGATCCCCTCTCACATCTGACCCTAAGGTTATAAATCTTTTCCCAGAACTTCTGCTTCCCAGCAATCTTCCTTTTGCAACTCACTGGCCAGAAGCCAAGTCACATAGTCATGTCTGGCTACAGGAAAGGCTAGGACACAAGTCTGTAGTAGAGGAGAGGAGTGAGATTGGCAAGACAGTCTTAGTCCAGCAAGCATCGTGGAGGGGACCAGCAGTTAGCATAATGGCTATGTCACTGGACTCCCATGTAGTTGACCGCGGTTTGCGTCCCAGACCCAAGTGGCTTAAGACTCATGCCGGGCGCGTGTGCGTGCATGCCCAAGATCCCGAGAGAACAGAGGAGAGGGGATTGTGGCATGGCCATCACCCCGGGAGGTGATTTCTCACTTTCTGTCTCTCTGTCTCTGTCTGTCTGGCAAGTGCACGCGCCCTATAGCAAAAACCTCTCAAAAAAAAAAAAATTGAGTATACTGAAAACTGAACAATTGCAATGTTCTGTTAACAGAAGGAAGACAACAATTGGGGAGGCAATGGAAAGTGTCAGCCAATGACTCTCAGAGTAACTGTGAAAGTAAAATTACTTAATCCATAAAAAATGCTTACACCAGGATCTAGAACAAAGTAAATATGTGTTAGAAATCAACATCACCACCATTGATGTTAGTACATATTATTGGCTTGTTGCATCTCATTGTTTTCGCAGACATGTTTACTTTTCTCTCAAATTTTTTTTTAGTCTTTTCCCCATTCCTTTTACTTCTGTTACACTTCTCTGTTTTGACACCATAAAGACTTAACGACTTAACTTTCCTAGCTTCTCATCCAGTGAAATGCTACTTTCTTTTTAGTTATTTGTATAATAGCTAATTAAACACACACATGCATGCATGGAAACATGCAATGCACAATATTCCAAGTACTAGGTTAAACATTCTACATGCAACACCTTATTTGGTCTTCATAGAACTATAATCATTTTTTAATGAGAAAATCGAGGTTGCATAATGGGCCACAGGTGACACAACTAAGAAACAGTAGATGAAGCTGGATCCACTGTACACCACTACCACATCACATTATGATATACTCTTCAATCTTTCAAAACTTTGAATGTTTATGCTAAAATTTTGTAAATTTCTTATAGCCTGTGGCTAGTATGAGAAATGAGGTTTAGATAAGGTAATTGGGCTTTTTACGTAATACATAATACAAAAAAATAGTTTTCAAGAGGCAGTTGGTAAAGAATCTAAAATTTAAAGCTGTTATTTTAAACTTTATCCTAAATGAAATATATCTGGATTGTAATTTGTCCATCATACTGTTAGGTTATGTTTATGGAGTATACAGGCTCCTTTTAGACTATGATGAACACTATGAATTGTTTTCCTACTAGGAAAAGCTACATATGGACATTAATTTGCATATCATCTCTAAGATTTCAAGCCCCCTCCCCCCTCCAAATTCCATTTATCAACTCCTGAAACTAGAAAAATCACAAATTGCACTTTTTATTCAATACTTACAATGCTATAGTAAATCTTTCCCTGAAGTTCAGCTAATAACAGCATTTGCTAAATCATTCCATAATGAACCAAATTAGATGAACAACCCTGAAAAACACTAAATTGCTTATAGGCAAAGAGCTAAAGAATATATATATATATATATATAATTTCAATTTTTGTGTGTAACTACTGCCACCTTCTGGACACATGTGGGTACATATAAAATCTACAGTAAATTCTCTGTTAACTCAAAAATGATTTTCTAACTCATCACTTTTCTTTCTAATATGAATACATTATGGAGCATGAGGCTGAAAAAGCTGTTTAATTCCAATTTTGGAATTAAGTTTTGTTTTTCTAAAAAAGCTTTTAAGAATGATTTTTATTTAAGTTTATTTTAATTTGATCAGAGAGTGACAGAGTAAGAGAGAGGGGGAGAGGGGACAGAGTGAAAGAGAGATAAAGAGAGAGAGAGATAAAGAGAGAGAGTGATAAAGCAAGCCGTCAGGTCCAAGACTTGAACCATGGTCAGCCATGTAGGAGTCCAACACCCTTAAGCACCACGTCACCTGCCAGCCCTGGAATTAAGTTTGTAAGGGTAATCTTTCTGTTAAGTTTATCTCTTAAGTTTATAAGTCTGTCCTCTCTTTATTAGTCTATTTCAACAATAATTTGGATCTTCTTCTTTCCCTGACACAATTACACTACCTCGTTAGCTAGTCTTCCTGGATTTGTATAAATGCCCTCCATATTATAACCCACATTGCCATCAAAAGGATCTCTTAAAATACAGTTCTAGGGGACCAGTAGATGGCACGATGGTTATATCCTTGGACTCCTACATAGTCTACTGAGTCCTGGACCCCGAAGCTTGACACTCATGCCAGGCACATGTGTGTGCATGCCCAAATTCCTGAGAGAAGAGATTGTGGCATGGTCATCACCTCTGGGGGGGGAGGGTAATTTCTCACTTTCTTTCTCTCTCTGTCTCTCCAACAAGCACACATGCCCTATAGCAAAAGTCTCTCCAAAAACAAATAATAAACACAGCTTTATAGCCATGTCAGACTTCCTGCTTTGAACTATTCAGCGGCTCCTCATCCTACAGATTTAAATCTGATCTTCATCTTTTTAGCCAACCTTATTTCTTTACTCTTCGAAAACCTAAGATATAGGCTATTTATTACCATCTTCAGACTAGTCTCAAAGGGTTAAAAGAACAAATTCAAATTTGTCTTACCCCAATTAGAAAAGCAATTGTTAAATAGTGTAATTGTGGCCAGAATGTGGACTCTCAAACTTGATCTGGACAGAGAAAAGTTGATAGATGAATGTGTGTGTGTTTGTGTGTGTGTGTGTGTGTGTGTGTGTGTAAAAAGAGAAAGACCCATTAGACAAGTTGTATAGCAATGTTGTTCAAGAGGTTCCAATGGAGTATATCAGGAACTCAAACAAAAGTTTTGTCAGCACGGGAATGGAGTAAGGCTAAGAATTTGGCAAGAGATATGGCTATCGGCAGGTTCAACCCAGCATGTAATCACATTTTTTTTCTGAACTCTGGTATAACATATTGAACTAATCAATTACTGACAAAGCTATTCAATTTTTATGCAGACACCATAGGTTATTTCCTATACTAATGGATAAGATGGTTTCACACCACATATAAACATGATTATAAAGTTTGCTTCTCTAATTATCAGTGGCTAATTATGCTTTTCCTTTTCCATTTCAGTATTTCTATTCAGAAGCTTTCAAATGAATCACGCTACATGATTTATGAGTTCTGGGAGAATAGTAATGTGTGGAATAGGTAAGTTGTGAGGAAGGCTGATTTTTTTGTAAAGTCATGGAGGCAGCAATATATGACATAATTTTAGAACTATAGAAAAGACTTTACTCTATTTATCTCTACCTAAAACCTGTTTTATTTACTTATTACCCTTAATTACACACTTTTAGAAATTTATTTTGTGGATTAGTAACCACTTTCCTCTTGAAGCACAAACACTTTTGGTAAAGTCAATTAGACTATTTTATAGATGGTTTCAGATATAGTGTCGTGGGTTCTAAGGTGGGCAGGGATGGTGGGATGCAGACAAAGGATGCAAAAAAAAGGAAGAGGGAAAAAAACTTTTAAATCCTAACTTTTTATAAAATAAGTTTTGTGTAAATTATCTTATTTTACAATGAAACTACACATAATTCTTAAGATAATCATGGCCTAATTATTTTTCTAAAGGTCTTTGAACACTGTGAATAAATGAGAAAAACATGACATTGTTTGACAAATTTTAAAAATTACCTTCTTTGACATTAAAATGATAACTAATAAGCATCAAATATATAATGAGAAAACTGGAATAAAGGAAATTTTTGCTATTCTGAGATTATATAAACAGTTCCAGATGGTCTTCAGTGGTACAAAGCATATTGCTCTTTATTAAGTCCATGTTTCTAGGGTATTAGATATGGTAATGGAAGTAATATAACACCTGGAAATTCAAGTGATACATTTTTTACCTGCAAGTTTTATTTTTGTGGCTCTTTGGAAGGCACTTTGTGCTATAATGAAGGTATCACGTGACACCAGTAGTTTTTAAGGCATAGTAGGAATCCTTAAAGGCAATTTATTAAACTTCCCACTTCTAGGCCTACATCTTTAGATGATATAATCATCTATGTTTACTCTCTAGAGATTGGAAATTTACAGTTCCTCTTCTTAGCTATTCTACTTTTTAAACACTTTGACAGCCAACATACTTCTTCTGTTTAAAGTACTAGCTACAATTAAAATCTTACTTTTTTAAAATATATTCTGTAGAAAATTAGTGTTCTCATTTTATAAACCTTTCGAAAAAATTTTTGTAACAGTTATTACTCTTGAAATTTTTAAGGCTAAATAAGCATTAGAAGACGTCTATATCCAGACATTTTCTTAATCCAAATCACCCAAAACCTTCTCATAGATTGAATTTTATCTCTGCTACTGTCTACTTAAAAATATTGTAAATAAAAGTGTACAACTATAACCTGTAATTATTTATACAGCCACCTTCAGACAAATTATAGCAAGACTTTCCAAAGAAGTAATGTGGATTTCTTGGAAACTCCAGAACTCACCTCTACTATGCTAGTTCCTGGTAATTATCCTGGGTTCACAATGTTCCATGTGCTTTTGTATTAATTTTTGTTTTTTATTGTTGTTGTTTTAGGATAGTATGTTCTTCAGTGGTGCTCTCTTTATTGTTTCCTTATGTATCTCTTAATTTGGGGTGGGAAGGAAGCAAGAGATCTATACATTTCTTTTATTGCCTTTAGTTCTTAGTTAACATTATTTATATTTCTTACTATATTAAACCTATTATTTGCTGGCCCCAACTAAAATTTTAACTAACTTGACATACAAGTCAAATCACAGTATTTCAAAAATTATTCAAATGCTTCACTATATCATAATTTAGTTTATTGAATACAATCTAGATAGCCAGGAAAGAAAAATACCTCAATCAAGAGCTAGAGAGAAAATTGGGGGTTCTACTTGCAGATAAAGTTTTCAGGAGCTAACGACAGCAATATGGTGACTGAAGTCTGGGACTGGTGAGAGAGTATGCAGATAAGAGTCAGGCTTGGAATTTGGCATCTAACCCTGGCATCTAACCCTTTCTTTAAAAGTTTACTCAAGGGACCAGTTGATGGTTAATGGTTATGTGGGATTTCCATGTAGTCGATCACTGTTCAAGTCCCAGCCCCAGCAGCTTAAAACTCATGCCAGGCACATGTGTGTGCCCAAAATCCTGAGAAGAGTATAGAGGAGAAAGAACTGTGGTGTGGCCATACCCCCTGGGGAGTGATTTCTTCCTTTCTGTCTGTCTCTCTGGTGAGTGTACACACCTTATAGCAAAAATCTAAATAAATAAATAAATAAATAAATAAATAAATAAATAAATAAATGGTTGGTTGAGAGAGAGACATTTCCTTTACTAAAGAGACCAAGAGGAACCAATCAGAAGTATGAGAATCATAGTAGCAGAGTATTAAGGAAACCAGAGGAAAATGAAGGAAACAGTGCTCTTTGAGGGCCATGTGTGGTAGCAAGTGACTAAAGAGAATGCAACCAGAAAATGGCTTTAAGAAAGTCATTGGTTCAAGAGAACAGTTTTAACAGAGTGGTAAGAATTTTAAATTAGGCTATATTTTGATGAATTTGGAAACTATTCAGAGGTGAAAAAGTAAATATTGGAGGAGCTAGGTGAGGGGTCTGGGAAAATTAGGTATGAAGGTTTGAAAAGTTGGCTGAGACTTACATCTCAGTCTGAGCTCTAATTATCTGTTTAGTATAGATCTTAATATTGGCTTGTCTGGCATAGAAAATGGTAGACCTGTAAGCCTAATCTCTGTAGCGTGGTCAGTAATATAGCAGATCAGATAATGGAGCTGGAAGCCACAAGTCAACTGCAATTCTAATCCCCAGGTCTACCTGAAACATGCTGGTCGTATAATCCTAAAGAACTAGAAAGTTGGAAGAAGGAGATTACAGCATGTGCTCTAGCATGAAAGAAAGATAGACTTGTAGAATTTCTCGCAACAGAGTTCAAATTTAATCCTCCAGTAAGGAAGCCATGAATATGGCTGAAATTTCTCACAATTCAGTTTGACTCATGCAGGTTAATTTAGAATCCATCGTAGCTTGTGGAAGGTATAAGTGAGAGAGTGGTTACATTTCTTTTATTGCCTTTAGTTCTTAGTTAACATTATTTATATTTCTTACTATATTAAACCTATTATTTGCTGGCCCCAACTAAAATTTTAACTAACTTGACATACAAGTCAAATCACAGTATTTCAAAAATTATTCAAATGCTTCACTATATCATAATTTAGTTTATTGAATACAATCTAGATAGCCAGGAAAGAAAAATACCTCAATCAAGAGCTAGAGAGAAAATTGGGGGTTCTACTTGCAGATAAAGTTTTCAGGAGCTAACGACAGCAATATGGTGACTGAAGTCTGGGACTGGTGAGAGAGTATGCAGATAAGAGTCAGGCTTGGAATTTGGCATCTAACCCTGGCATCTAACCCTTTCTTTAAAAGTTTACTCAAGGGACCAGTTGATGGTTAATGGTTATGTGGGATTTCCATGTAGTCGATCACTGTTCAAGTCCCAGCCCCAGCAGCTTAAAACTCATGCCAGGCACATGTGTGTGCCCAAAATCCTGAGAAGAGTATAGAGGAGAAAGAACTGTGGTGTGGCCATACCCCCTGGGGAGTGATTTCTTCCTTTCTGTCTGTCTCTCTGGTGAGTGTACACACCTTATAGCAAAAATCTAAATAAATAAATAAATAAATAAATAAATAAATAAATAAATAAATGGTTGGTTGAGAGAGAGACATTTCCTTTACTAAAGAGACCAAGAGGAACCAATCAGAAGTATGAGAATCATAGTAGCAGAGTATTAAGGAAACCAGAGGAAAATGAAGGAAACAGTGCTCTTTGAGGGCCATGTGTGGTAGCAAGTGACTAAAGAGAATGCAACCAGAAAATGGCTTTAAGAAAGTCATTGGTTCAAGAGAACAGTTTTAACAGAGTGGTAAGAATTTTAAATTAGGCTATATTTTGATGAATTTGGAAACTATTCAGAGGTGAAAAAGTAAATATTGGAGGAGCTAGGTGAGGGGTCTGGGAAAATTAGGTATGAAGGTTTGAAAAGTTGGCTGAGACTTACATCTCAGTCTGAGCTCTAATTATCTGTTTAGTATAGATCTTAATATTGGCTTGTCTGGCATAGAAAATGGTAGACCTGTAAGCCTAATCTCTGTAGCGTGGTCAGTAATATAGCAGATCAGATAATGGAGCTGGAAGCCACAAGTCAACTGCAATTCTAATCCCCAGGTCTACCTGAAACATGCTGGTCGTATAATCCTAAAGAACTAGAAAGTTGGAAGAAGGAGATTACAGCATGTGCTCTAGCATGAAAGAAAGATAGACTTGTAGAATTTCTCGCAACAGAGTTCAAATTTAATCCTCCAGTAAGGAAGCCATGAATATGGCTGAAATTTCTCACAATTCAGTTTGACTCATGCAGGTTAATTTAGAATCCATCGTAGCTTGTGGAAGGTATAAGTGAGAGAGTGGTGGCAAAAGGCTGTTAAAGAATAGACTTCAGTGACTGCCTTCAGTTTACCCAAAACTGTTTTAGCTTAGCTATTATACCAGGGTTGGAAAGTCTGTTAAAAATGGGGAGAAAAGGGACCAGTAGATGGTATAATAATTATGTTGCTGGACTCCCATGTAATCAGCTGCAGTTCAAGTCCCGGACCCGGCAGCTTAAAACTCACCAGGTACAGGTGCGTGCATGCCCAAAATACTGAGAGAAGAATGAAAGAGAAGGGATTGAGGCATGGCCATGCTCCCTGGAGGGTAATTTCTTACTTTCTGTCTCTCCAGCCAGTATACGCACCCTATAGCAAAAATTGCTAAAGAAAATTAAAAATTAGGAAAGACCTAAAACACAATAATTTTGTCATACTTGTGTGTTTGAAAAGAATTTGAGTTACTATTCCTAAAATGCTGCCTTTCTGCACTCTTAAAATTTTATTGCCAGATCTTAAAGTCTCAATACATGCACACACAAAAAAAGTTACTTCTTTCAGAAAGATTAAAAGCAACTACTCTAAAACTCTATGATTTAAAGCCAATCATTTGTGTTGGTTAAGACAGTTGGATCCCATATGGCCAATAAGACATTTTGAGTCCTAGACTCAGTGGCTTGAAAAACCACCAGGTACATGTGCACGCATTTCCAAAGTCCCAAAAAGAGAATGGAAGAGAAGGGATTGTGGCATGTCCTCTCTCTCTCTCTCTTTAACTTTCTCTCTGGCCAGCACATATACCCTTTGGCAAATTAAAAAAAAAAAAAATTATACACACACACATACCAATATATATATAAAACTTAGTGAATTTACCTAAGATATATCTCAATAAATTGAGTAACTAAATCAGACTACATCCAAATATGAAAATACAAACTAAAATACATTCCTATGAACTCTCAAATACACACACAAAAAAAAAAATCACACAATGAGGCATACTGCATATGACAGCCCAGGCTCATTAGCCATCAAAAACCAACCAGAGGAAACCAGCAGTTAGCGCAATGGCTATGTCACTGGACTCCCCACGTAGTCGACCGCGGTTTGCGTCCCGGACCCAGTGGCTTAAAACTCACGCCAGGCGCGTGTGCGTGCGTGCCCAAGATCCCAAGAAGAGAATGGAGGAGAAGGGATTGCGGCATGACCATTCCCTCTAGGGGGTGATTTCTCGCTTTCTGTCTCTATGTCTCTCTCTGTCTGTCTGGCAAGCGCATGCACCCCCCTATAGCGAAAACCTCTCAAAAGAAAAAAAAAAACTAGACAAAAGAGCATGAGAACTCAAGTCTGTGGGGCAAGATATTCCTTGGTATTAGATAAAGGTTTATGGTTATGAGAAAAGTGGATACAAGAGAAAGTAAAATACTATTAACCAATTACTTAGCTTTGAAAATAATTTTATTCCACTTGTCTGTTTTTCACAGCATTCCACCAATTTTGCTTCTTTGCCATAGATTTGTCTTTGGGATATTTACATTCATTATATTAATTGTTTTTGAGATATTTATATTTATTGGAGAAAATATGTACAGTTTTATAGTATAGATATACTAAAAATATTATTTATGCCCACTTGCTTACACCCAATCTTTCTGAAATCTTTATGTAGAAGTATCTTCTATATTTCCTAAATACTTGCCAGTACCGAGTAGCTTAAAACAGCAATAACAATATGATTTTTTATCTTTAGAACATTTATAATCTCATTGCTAAGACAAGTCCTATTCATATATAACAAAAAGTCTTAGACAACAAAAACAATAAGGTATCAAAAGATGTTATATAAATAACAATGTGTAAGAATTAAGTCTTGGCTCAAACAGTCAGGAAATGGTGAATAGAAAGTAATTAAGCTAAAGGTGAATTGAATGGCTTAAGAATGATTTGCAACTTCTTCTGCCCTGGAAGATACTTTCATTATTTTAAATAATGTTATTCTCTTTTCAGCTTCATGGTGGATCCTGAACAACAACTAGATATTCGTAGACATTTTCTTCATGGTTCCACCAAGTGCAAAATAATTGTTCTTATCTAAAATGTCAAATAGAAAATTCTCTGTAGTTGTTAATCTACTGTATACTTTTGTTTAATATAGTTACTATTTGAGCACTATTCAGAAATATATTCTATAGCTTTCATCATTTGTGTGAATTTTAGCTCAGTTTTCAAAGTCACATTTGTTTTCAATATTTGATGCTAGCTGCTTTGCTACACTGTAACCAACCTAAAACCATTCAGTAACAAAATCCTAATATGTGAAAAAAAAAGTTTATGCATAAATGTGTAAAATTGTGAAAAAAAATGAGAAAAAAATATATTTAAAGTGGGAACTTTTGGAATATTAGTTCGTAGGACAGATTTTATGCATTATATACAGTCACATATCATTTAATGATGGAGATGATTTCTGAGAAATGCATTAAGCAATTTTATCATTGTGCAAATATCTTAGAGTGTACCTATACAAACCTATATGGTATAGTCTATTACACACTAGGCTATGTGGTATAGCCTATTATAACCTTATGGGACCACCACTGTATTGCTATTCATCATTGATTGAAAATGTTGTTACGCAGCTCATGACTATACTTACTATAGTGGGTTGAATCAGTATTTTGTCTTTTAAGTAACAGATTTTCTGTGAGTGAACTTTGTTCTTCAGTAATGCCTATTCCATTTCCAATTTATGATTCTATGAATATTTTCCATACATCACTTAAAAATTAGTACATGGGCATAAGACAACCTTGGCTGTAAAGCTATAGCATGTGTCCATCCGTCAGGATATAAACTGGCTTTTCACCAGTGAACACTTCTAAGTTATAGAAACATTTAGTAATATAATACCAATATATTATTTATTAGTACCATAAGTCCCTGAATGAAAATTATATCAAGGAAAAAAGTTTTGGGACCAGCAGTTAGTGTAACGGTATGTCGCTGAACTCCCATGTAGCCGGCCACGGTTTGAGTCCTGGACCTGGTGGCTTAAACTCACGCCAGGTATGTGTGCGCACGTGCCCAAGATCCCAAGAGGAGAATGACAGAGAAGGAATTGCGACATGGCCATCCCCCCTGGGGGATGATTTCTCGCTTTCTATCTCTCTGTCTGTCTCTGTCTTCCTGTCAAGTGCATGCACCCTACAGCAAAAACCTCTTAAAAAAAAGAAAGAAAGAAAAAAAAGTCTCACTTTGGAGAAATATGGTTCAAATTTTAAAGGATGCTGTTCTGGTAATGTGATCAACAGAGCTAACTTCTTATGAAAAATATATATTTGCATTTAAATATGGATTTCAAAATACTTTAAAAATAAAATTTTAACCTAAATGGATAAAAAGAACATGTAAAAGGAGTATAAAATAAGGAAACTACTCAACAGAATTTATCTACTTTCCAGTTTCACCTGTAGAATAACTAAAACTATGTACTGCTTTTCTCTGTAAACTCAGAAATTTTAAAAAAAATTTAAGAAAGATTTTTGCTATAGGGTGCATACGCTCTCTGGAAAGACAGACACAAAGACGCAAAAAGTAAGAAATCACCTCCAGAGGGGAGGGCCAGGCCACAATCCCTTCTCCTTCATTCTTCTCTCAGGATCTTGGGCACACGTTAATATGTTCCCAGTTTGAGTTTTAGCCACTAGGGGACTCAAACTGCAGTCAACTCTGTGGGAGTCCAACGATGTAACCATTATACCATCTGCTGGTCTCACAGAAATTAAATATTTTTAATAATATAAATCTCTTCTGCTTTAAACCTTACTACTGAAAACACAATACATATAGATTTATGTTACCATGTTATTTTCTAGTACATATTCCTTTGCAACTATGGATCCTTGTGGGAAAACTATAAAGTAGAATTTTCCCATTTTTTTTTTACTGTTGAAAAGAATAAAAAGGAAGGTTATACTAAAATTTCATTTCATAGATGTAAAATTTAACCTAAAATACTTTCTCAAACTATTTTATGGAATGTTAACCTTATAATAATACTTTTATATACTCCCAGTCCTCAATCTAAAAAAAAAAAAAAAAAGAATTCTTTCAAAATTTCTATTAGACATAAGCAGTAAATTTTGACATATTATACACACATACATATGTGTGCACGTTGCTGGTTAGCTCTAAAGATGACAAGTACTATGAAACAACATCTGACTCAACTCTTAATATAAACAAAGCAAGAACAACATTAATGGCGAGGTACAATGATTATGCAAATCTGCTATACATACGTACAAAGACAGATAACAAAAGAGTCTTTGTGGTCTTACTCTGATGATTTTTTTAAAGAATTAATTTATTTAACTTTATTTATTTATTTATTTTAATTTGACCAGAGAGGGACAGAGAGAGAGAGAGGGAAAGTGAGAAAGGAAGCTGCCAAGTCTGAGACACGAACCACATTGGCCATGTGGTAGTTCAGCACCCACCTATTACTTTGATTACTCTGATTATATATAGTAAGAAAGGATAAAAAACTTTGAAGGGACTTTTGACATACACATTCTCCTTAAAAGGATTGTTTACAAATGGTTTTAAAATGTAAATGATAGCTAATCAAAATATTGCTTTGGATGGTCCATTTCAGTACCCAATTCAAAAAAATATATAAAATGTTTTGGGTACTAGGCAGTGTTTGAAGTAACATAGTACCATGCCTTTAAAAGGGTGTGCTCTCAGGGATAGATATAGCTATAGCATATAAATATCTCTTATCTATGTCTACATACATAAACACACATACACACACACACACACAAACTTATAGTGTAAGAAGAAATAGGACAAATAATAATTGATACAAGTGGACCCTAAGTCAAGTATCTCATTTTAAAGTATGGAATAAATTTATGATTAAGAAAGTAGTTTTTTTCTCTCTTAAAAAAATAATCCAGCTTTTTCTGGGAAACACTATTATGCAAAAGGTGGTACTAGAATACCAAGATGGAAAATCTACCATGGACTAGAAACTTGAACTCGGGTATAAAGCCCAAAAACCTATGAAGAAAAGATACTGGTTTTCAGAGTTTACAATTCAGCAAAAGATAAGCTTCCTGCCAAATGAAGGCCTTGAACACCTTGTCAAAAAACAGAGATCTGAGAGAATAGCAACAAGGAGCATTTACACTTACCTTTATGTTAGCAATTTTTTGACATTGTGCTGGAAAACACTTTTTTTTTTTAACAATAGTGACATCCAGAGTGATGAACTACAGATTTATTGTATGAAATTTCTAGGAATTAAAAGTTTAAAGCCAAAAATTCTTCATTCTATGTCTTATAAGGAATTATAGAATTGAAACTTATACCTTGATTAATTAGTGACATAAGTAGCAGCTATTTTTCAACTTCAGTTTCATTTCATTTACTATCACTGTTTCCAAATCTCAATTTATACTAGTAATTATAAAACTGAGAAAATTATTAAAAACTTACAGACCGATCCTATATTTGAGAAAAAAAATGGCCTATTAAAAAATTTCTCCCTCTTGTTACTAAAAACCATGCATTGAACATTCTGAGTTGTTCTAAGTATCTGGGAGACTGTAATAATCTCTTCAAGAGCTGGTATGAAATCAGTGGGAAACAAAAAACTTAAAAGCAACAAGAAATTATGTACCATACGTATACCGTAGCAAATACTTTATATTTGAGAATTTTTACAGCTTACATGTCAATTCCATTATTACAATGATGAAAAACAAAAAAAAATGCAAGTAGCATGCAAATTATAAATAGTCTTCCCATTCCACTAACCAAATTCCTACTTTCCAGTATTACTTTCAAATTTATGCAGGAAACTGCCTGCAAAGCTGAAACTGATTAGAAAATTCGTTATAATTTAAAACATCTTTTTCTTGTTTTAGGAGAAGCCAAATAGCCAAACATTGAAATTAAAAATAAATTGAATTGTCACAGTCCATTACAGTTATTATTACTAGATCCACTTCATTGCAGGTGTCCAAAATAAAAAACGAATAATTCTTTATCTCCAAATCCATCTGTTCTTAAAATGCTACTTAAAACTCTGGTTGTTTTCCTGTAACAGAGAAGAAATAGTTAAACTTGTCAATTAGATTGACTAGATACAGTTTTTACTAATTAGTTTATCAAATGAAATGCTGTGACCCTACTAAGTATTTACAGATCTAAATGCATGTTTACTGTAGAAATTATTAAAGTGGCTAGAATTGTCAAATAACAGTTCAATGTTTAAAAAATATATCTGTAATTCATTTTTCAATATAGTAAATTGTATTACAAACCTGTTTTTCTGTTCTATGGTACCTACGGTGTTGAAATGTTATAAGTGCATCAACCAAAAGTAAACTTAATTCAGTGTAAAAGTTTGTTTGAAATAATGTGTATGCCAAACGTTAATTTATAAATATTATTAAAGGTTGAAAGTCTGCAAATAAAAAGTGACTACATTTTATATGTCTCTGAAGTTGTATTTACTCTTACAAAGGATTGTGTGTCTTCAAAATATTGAAGTGAGAAAATTAAAACATCATCTAGTACATTTTTCCTCATTAAATATCTCTATGTGAGAGAACTTATTCAAAATGTTTAATAATTCCTGCTTTAATTTTTTTAAAAAAAGAATTGGCTAGAGGTCTGTAAATTGGGGAGTTTAAATTAAGAAATATAAACTATAAATAAGATAAAATTTTGAGAAAAAGTAACTGAGGAAAAAAATGTTATGGATTCCAAAGAGTCGAAATTGTAACAATAGAAACAAAGTAGTAGTTTATGTCACATGTGGGCCATTCTTAGCATATCTATATTCTGAGTCTTATCTTAATTGAATTCTAGTTGGCTTATTTAAATTAAATAGTATTTATGAAAACTCTAAATTTAAAAAGGTCAAGTTCAGGGACCAGCAGTTGGTGCAATGGCTATGTCGCTGGACTCCCACGTAGTTGAATGTGGTTCGAATCCCAGACCTAGTAGCTTAAACTCACGCCAGGTGCATGCCCCAAGATCTGAGGAGATTGGAGGAGAAGGGATTGCAGCAAGCCCACCCCACCAGGGGTGATTTTTTGCATTCTGTCTCTCTGTCTCTGTCTTTCTGGCAAGGACACATGCCCTCTAGCAAAAACCTCTCCAAAAAAAAAAGTTAAGTTCCAATCAAATCTTAAGTAGAGACCATAATAGAAGGAAATACTGAGTGTTTAATGAGAGGTAGTATACTAAACACTCATACATTATTTTATTTATTTTATTTATTTATTTATTTTTTTGGGGGGGGAGAGGTTTTTGCTACAGGGCGCGTGTGCTGGCCAGAAAGAGACAGAGAGACAGAAAGCGAGAAATCACCCCCCAGAGGGGATGGCCATGCCACAAACTCTTCTCCTCCTTTCTCCTCTCAGGATCTTGGGCATGCATGCACACGCGCCCAGCGTGAGTTTTAGCCACCAGGTCCAGGACTTGAACTGCGGTTGGCTACATGGGAGTCCAGCGACATAGTCATTACACTAACTGCTAGTCCCTACTCATACAATATTTTAATAACTAGAGATTGTCATCTTTATCTGTAATTACAAAACTGAACATCAAGTGCTTAAGTGACTTATCCAAGTTCAAACTACCAGCACACAAAGTAGAGCACCAATAAGAACCCAAATCTGATGCTAAAACCATGTCCTTTCCAATCAATATCCTAAAAGATGTTTTGTTTTGTTTTGTTTTTTGAGATAGATTGATTTTTTTCTATAGGGCACATGAGAGACAGAGAGACAAAAAGTGAGGCAAAAAGTGAGATAGATTGATTTTTTTCTATAGGGCACATAGAGAGACAGAGAGACAAAAAGTGAGAAATCACCCTCCGGGGGGATGGCCATTTCACAAACCATTCCTCTCCATTCTCCTGCCGGTTCCAGGATTCAAACCACAGTCAATTGTGTGGGAGTCCAGCTCCTAAACCACTATGCTGGCCCCGATGTAAGTATTTTTTAAGTGTATTTACTTTGATGAAATTTAATGGGGTGACACAGAAATAAAAAGACTACCTGGAACTGGCTTTATGAGGCAGCAGTAATATGATGCTTAAGAGAGCAGGATCACACATGGCCAGCACAGTTCATATCCCCTGTCCTGTAAGCCAAAAACACACTGGTCATGTGCACCAGTACCCAAGATTCAACCTGCTCAAAGACTCAAGGGAATGATCTCAGTGTGACCAGATCCTGTGAAAAAAAATCCCTACTTTTTCTATCTCATTCTCCCTCTCGTGTATGCATGCACATGCTCTTTTATGAAGAAAAAAAAAAGAAAGAATTAAGGTGTTTTTTGGTTTTTGGTTTTTTTTTGATTGACCAGAGAGAGAGAGGAAAGTGAGAAAGCAAGTCACCAAGCTGAGGACTCAAACCACAGTCAACCATGTCAGAGACTAGCATCCTAACCACTCTGAGAAAAAAAAATTTAATTCTAAAAAAGGACTCATTTAATGGAGAGCCCATAAATCCAACCACACATATATTGCCAGAACAGTGTCAGAGGACTATCTTTACAATAAATATTACTAGAATTACTGAATATCCATGCAGGAAAAAAAAAAAAAGTTTGACTCCTACACCTATAATAAAAATCAATTTCAGGTAGACTATAGAACTTAACTGGAAAATAATATAAAAGGCCAGCAAGAGATGTGGTGGTTAAGACACTAGACTCCCACATGGCTGACTATAGTTCAAGTCTCTCTCTCTCTCTCTTCCTGGTGCCCTATGCAAATTTTTAAAATAATAATAAATAAAACTAAATAAATATTTTTTAAATATATAGAACTTTTAGAATATGAAACAATTTGTTCTATTGGAGAGTTTTTTCCGCTATAGGTTGCGTGCGCTTGCCAGACAGACAGAGAGAGACAGAGAAACAGAAAGCAAGAAATCACCCCCCAGGGGGGATGGTCACGCCCGCAATCCCTTCTCCTCCATTCTCCTCTCGGGATCTTGGGCACACACGCACACGCACCAGGCGTGAGTTTTAAGCCACCGGGTCCAAGACACAAACCGTGGTCGACTACATGGGAGTCCAGCAACATAGCCATTATGCTAACTGCTAGTTCCCAATATGAAACAATTTTTTCATAACTTTTCAATAAACTATTTCATAAACAAAATATAATCATTCTATTTCATCTGAGTGGTAATTATTTTGTAATAATTGATTATATTATATTGTACATTTATATTTTTGTACTTTTCTAAATTACTTGTATTTTATAATAAAAACAGTTAAACATCTAAAAGTAAACTCAAAAACATTAAACACAAAAATTTTGAAATATGGTATTACAAAATTAGAAACCTACTTACTGGTTTTTGAAGTACAATGGGGTGATCAGGCAGAAAGTCTGGCTTTTTTCTGCAGATGGAAACACTTGAAAGCTTCAACAGGAAATCTCTGCTGTATTTAATTCTCTCTACAGATATTAAATATCAAATGTAAAGTTATAAAACACATAACTCTTCTAGATAACTTTATGGTTCATTTCTTTCTGGATGTTCCTTAACTATCCTTTATTTTATAAAATTGTAAGTAGTGTCTATGCAAGAGAGGAGAAAAACTTTTGAAAAACATCCATTGCCTACAATTTTCCTTTTACATGGAAAGGAAGCCAGAAAAAAATGGAAGAGACTTGTTTGAGAAAACTGGTAATATGTGCCACTTCTGGTTATTTAAATCTAATAAAATGATCTGGTGGGCCAACGGTGGCATGGTGGTTAAGGTGCTGGATCCCACACAGCCAGCTGTATGGTTCCAGTATCAAACCTGGCAACTTGAAAATTATGCTGGGGTGGGGGGCGGGGGTGTCAGTAGGTAGCATGATGGTGAAGGTGGCTGGATTCTCATATGGCTGACTTGGGTTCAAGTCCAAGACCCAGTGGCTTGAAACACACCAGGCATGTGTGTGTGTGTGCCTCAAATCCAGAGAGGAGAATGGAGGAGAAGGAAGGGATTACAACACGCCATCCCCTGGGGTGGGGGTGATCTCTTGTTTTCTCTACTTCTAGTGAGTGCACACAACCCATTGCAAAAATCACTCAAAAGAAGAAAAAATAAATCACAGAGGTATGTGCATGTACAAAATCCCAAAAGTACAGTGGAGAAGGGACTGGTCATAACCCAATGGGTGATTGTTCTTATCCTTACTATCTCTCTCTAGCAAACACACGCACCCTATAACAAAAACCTAAAGAAGAAAAAAAAGATCTGGTATTATAAAGTGTAGCAGCAGTAATATCTATTGGGCAATTCATATCCTGCCAAATGGAACCTTAATAAGCCTACCTAGTCTCAATCAACACTAAAAATTTAAAACAGTAAAAATAAATTAAATTTGGGATAAGCAGGTGGCACAGAGGTTAAGGCACTGGATTTCCATGTGGTTGACTGCAATTCAAGTCCTGGATCCCGTGGTTTGAAATTCATACCGGGAACATATGCGGACAAAGAGAGGACTGGAGGAGAAAGGATTGTGGTGTGACCATCTCCCCAGAAGGTGAATTCTAGCTCTCTCTATCTGTCTGTCTCTGTCTCTCTGGTGAGTACACACCTATAGCAAAAGTCTCCCCAACAACAACAAAAAAATTAATTCAAGAAGCAATTAATTATATAACTATTATGTTTCAGGGACTATATACATAATAGTAAACAAGATTCAAAATAGAACACCCTACCCCCATATTCAAGGGAAACAATGATTCAAATATTTGCAGATTTCTCATCAGAAACGGTCACCAGAAACAGCTTACCATATGCTGGACCATAAGATAATGGAAGAAAAATTTACAGTGTTTAAACAAAAGAACTGGCAAACAAAACTTACATATCCAGTGGGGAGGGGAAATCATTCAGGAATGGATGTGAAATAAAGACATTTTCTTTCCTTTTTTTTTTTTAAAGAATTATTTTATTTAACTTTATTTATTTATTTATTTTCATTTGACCAGAGAGGGACAGAGTGAGAGAGAGGGAGATGGGGGAAAGTGAAAAAGCAAGCCGCCAAGTCTGGGACTCAAACCACGGTTGGCCATGTGGGAGTCCAGTGCCTTTAACCACCACAGTACCTGCCAGCCCCAAAATAAAAACATTTTCAAATGAAGTAAAATTTTAAAAAGTTATCACTAGCAAACTTAACTTACAAGAAATACAAAAGGAAGTTCTTCAGGTTGAGGATAAATGATATTTAGATAGAAACTTTACTCCAAAACTAGACAGCAAAAAAATGATAAACAGCTGGATAACTGTAACATTCCATTTGTCCTTCCTCTAAGTTTTTGAAAAATATGTATTACTACTGAAAGCAAAAATGCTAACACTGTCCTGTGTGGTCCTCAAGATATAGAGATATAGGGGCCAGCAAGTGGTGGTTAAGGCACTGGACTCCCACATAGCTGATAGGGATTTGAGTCCCAGACCCACAGCTTGAAAATCACACCACACATGTTTGTGTGTGTGCCCAAAATCCCAACAGAAGAATGGAGGAGAAAGGATTTCAGTGTGGCTATACCCTCTAGCGGTTAGGGGGATTTCTCCTTTTCCCTCTTTCTGTCTCTGATTCTCTGGTGAGCACACACACCCTATGACAAAAATCTAAAAATTAAAATAAAATAAAATAAAGATAGAGATATAATAAATAATAGCTAATAGCTACAGCAAAAAGATCAGTGTGTGCCCAACCACTGTAATACAGCAGTAATACACAAGTGCCCTGTAAGACTAGAAGTCATATGACCAACTGCAGATTCCGAACCCTGGGGTAGCTTGAAACCATGCTTGGTGCACCCCCAGGATTCTGAGGGGCTAAAGGAATGGCAAAAGAGTATTGTGAAGTGATAAGACCCTGTCAAGGGTACTTCCTGCTCTCTTTCTCTTTCTCATTGGCATGAGTGCACACTGATTGTCATTTTAAAAAAAAATAAGTAAATAACCCTATAGGTTAAACATAAATGGGTGTTAAAAATATACACCATGCAAAGACTAGAAATAAAAAGGTTGGAGTAGCTTATCTTTTTTTTTTTTTAATTTTTTTTGTTGTTGTTGAGGTTTTTTTGCTATAGGGCGCGTGTGCTCGCCAGACAGACAGAGAGAGACAGAGAGACAGAAAGTGAGAAATCACCCCCCAGGGGTAATGGTCATGCTGCAATCCCTTCTCCTCCATTCTCCTCTCGGGATCTTGGGCACACACGCACATGCGCTCGGCGTGAGTTTTAAGCCACCGGGTCCGGGACGCGAACCACAGTCAACTACGTGGGAGTCCAGGGAAACAGCCATTACACTAACTGCTGGTTCTAGAGTAGCTTATCTTAATGTCAGTCAATATTCATCAATGTGTTCTGCCTAAAAGCAGAATTTTGAAATATGTAAAGAAAAAATTAATAGAAATAAAAGAGGAAATTGATAATTCTACAATATCAGATGATGCAAAATCCTGATTCGGTAATTAATTAGAATATGCAACATATTTTCATGGCCTTTCAGTGGAAAATATTTCCTAAAGAAAATACAATTATTGGAACCAGCAGTTAGTGTAATGGCTATGTCTCTGGACTCCCATGTAGTCGACCGCAGTTCGAGTCCCGGACCCGGTGGCTTAAACTCAGGCCGGGCGCGTGTGTGTGCGTGCCCAGGATCCCGAGAGGAGAATGAGGAGAAGGGATTGCGGCATGGCCATCCCCCCTGGGGGGTGATTTCTCGCTTTCTATCTCTCTGTCTCTGTCTGTCTGGCGAGCGCATGCGCCCTATAGCAAAAACCTCTCAAAAAAAAAATTATTCTATTCTATTTCTTAAGTAGAGAGAAATCTCAATAATATTATCAATCACCTTGATTTAACTACCATTTATTGAACCTACAGCAACAACTAAAGAACACAAATTCTTTTGAAGTACACATGATACAGTCACCAAGACAAACCATATACTGGTTTTTGCCATAAAGCAAGGTCTCAATAAATATAATAGATTAAAATCATATGGACTATATTCTCTGACAACAAAATTAAGTTAGAAATCCATAATAGTAAGATATTCAGAAAAATATATATCTTGGAAGCCAAATAATACTTTAAAACATTTGCAAGTCAAAGATAAAGCAATAAAGAACTTAAAAAATATTTTAAACTGAATGACAATTCAAATTACATGTCAAAATTAGTGGAGTACTACTAAAGCAGTGTTTCAGAGGGAACAAACAAAAATATTTACAACAAATCAAATAACTTAATCTACCTTAAAAAATAGAAGAGGAGAAAATTAAACCAAAAAAAATAGAAGAAAAGAATTTATAGAAATCACCAAAATAGAAAGCAAACTATAAAATTATAAAGCTGAAAGCTAGTTCTTTGAAGAGAAAATAACTGAAAAATCTCTGTAGATTAATTGATCAAGAAAAAAGAAAACAAATACAAAAGACCAATACAAGGAGCAATAATGGAATTGTCTCCACAAATCCTGTAAATATAAATGGAAAATAATCTAAACAACTTTATGTCAACATTTGACAATAGAGATGAAATGGATATATGAAAATTTGTGTATGGTTTTATATTCTCATTTCTTTCCTTCTCTTTTTTTTTCTATTCTTTTTTTATGTTAATTTTCCAGAGGTCATGTGTGCTTGCTGTAGAGAGACAGAGTGAAGGAGGGAAAGCAAGCAAGCAACCCTTATGTGGAATGGCCATACCACAATCCATTCTCCTTCATTTTTCTCTCCTTTCTGAATTTTGGGCATGCCCACAAACATGTCTGATTTGTTTCTCAAGTCCCAGGTACAGGACTCAAACTGTGCTGTTGGTCATCTGGGATATAGCCATCTTAACAACCATGCCAACAGCTGATCTATTATTTCTTTTTAGTAGTAGCTTGGAAATTAGGACCTAGTAGAATCACTGAAACTAAAAATAATTATAAACTTTCAATACCAAAGTGGTGAGGACTCCAAACAACTGGAGATTGTGAATACTGCTAGAGGAAACAGTCACTCAGAGCAATTTATCATATAGTTATGCATACATTTCTATGACCCAGTATTTATACTTCTAGCCAAGAAAAATTAACCATATTTTCAAATAAAAACTTCTATAGGAATGTTTATGGGGTCATTACACAAGACATTCAAAACAATATAAATATCCATCCTCTTGTGAACAGATATAATTGAATACTTATCCGCCAAGGAAAAAAATATATATACTGTGATAGACGAACCTTTAAAAATTATGTTAAGTGAAATAAGTTATATGGAAAAGATTACACATTATATTATTTCATTTATATGAAATATACAGCAAAATGACAAATCATATAGAGATAGTGATTATTATTAGCAGCCTGGGCTGGGGCTAGGTATGGGAGTGTAGATTGTCTGAAAATGTATACAAGATTCATTTAGTGGTGATGGAAATGTTCCAAAAATGAACTGTGTGATGATTGTCTAATCCTGTACATTAATTAAAATGACAAAAGTGTTTTTTAAATGGTGACTTTTATGATGTATAAATTATATCTCACTAAAACTTTTTTTTTAAAGGAAGAGGTATTTGAGGCTAGAAGAGTCTCAATTTTAACAGTGAGAACAGTAAGAATTAGACACTATGTATTACAATGGTAGCACTATGTAGAAGCAGTCAATGTGAATTCTCTAGTGATGGGAATGACTAGAAGCTCTTAAGGAACTAATGTCTCACACAATTTCAAATTGTTACCTAGACTATCTGCCAGAAAAAGAAACTGAGGAAAGTTATTAGGAAGTAAAACAAAATGATGACAAAACAGAAATCAAGAAAGTAAATATAAGAAAATTAGTCAATTTCAGTGGGTGAATCTCACTAATACCCAACTATAACATCAGCTTTAAGAAGAGAATGCAGGAAAAGTGTAGGGGATAAAAAAGTATTAATATAAAATATACCAAAAAATCCACACGGAAAGACCCTAAGTCATGAGACTGAAGAAGTATGCCACAAATTTTCTTTATGCTTCTATAGTTGTGCCTTTTCTAGACAATTCAATTGAGGGGAAACTTATAATATTTAAAATTTTAGGTCTAGCTTCTTTCACTTAGCAAAGCATTTCTAAAGTTCATTTAAAATTTTCTATCAAGTCAAATTTAATCAAGTGTTAGAATATGATAAAAGATACTTTCAAATACACAAACTCAAAGAATTTACCAACCTCAAACCCTTTTTCATGAAACTCCTGGAGAATGCATTTGAATAAAATGAAGAAGTAAAAATAAGAAATAATTAATACAGGAATCAAAATACAGAGGTGATTAATGTCAGGGAAAATGGTCAAGTAAGAAGCTCTAAAAGTCCATTCCTATACAAAGAAACAAATATGCTGGTAAAAATTGTCAGAATCAGATTTCTCAAAACTCTGGGTCTAATTGAAAGCTTACCAAAACCAAGGGATTGCTTAATTAAAAAAAAAAAAAAACAGCTAATTTGGAAAAAGTTGTATGGCATTTTAACTTACCATCTGCCTCTACCCAGCTTGGTAATGATTTAGAAGACAATAGCTCTCATTACACCAGTATGGGTTCCCAATACTGCAAGAAGCACCAAGAATCAAATTCAAACAATTGTGGTTGTTTTGACCTTTCTGATGGCTCCCTGAAGAACCACTAAAGGGCTTGCCTGTATTCCATCTAATTTAAAACTTGTCTTAGAACTGAGAATCCATTTCTCAAAACATTTAGAGGGAAATATATTAGCTCCTTCCACCAGGGGCAGAAAAGAACATTTGGAGCAAACAATAGGCAAATGAAAAGCTTGGGAAGAAAAATGAAAGAATCAGATACTTTAAGGAACAAAGACACTGGAAGATTCCCAGATATTCTTAGGATTCTAGGGTGCCACATATAAGTCAAATATGTAAGAATATTGGACTCATGTTCACAGAAACACTTGAGAAAGTCATAAGTTCTCATTTCTAGCTAATCTTCAGATTTGTCACAACTAGGAAGTGAAAGCAAAGGCAGAGTTGTAAACTGCCTAGACGAGTGTGAAGGCATCCTTCAACAGTCACACACACACACAGAAGACATCTGCAAAGATTAGATTAGGAGAGGGGGCTATTTGATTTTTGTTTTGTTTTGATTCTACACACTGAAGGAAATCACTGTTAAATTACAAGCTAACTACTAAGAATAACAGAACAGAGACCTCCATAGTTATGCATGACAAAAAATATAGACTTTACAATATTAGTTGATAAAAGACACTCAACAGACGATGGCCAAGAATCAACAACAAACCCTGGGAAAGTCAGAAAATGTTATTTTCAGAGTTGCTGCATGATAATATTTGAAATATCCAGTTTTCCCTTTAGTTCTATGAGATAAATTTTACATGTACAATTAGAATGTATCAATTAAAAGTTTAAGTCTAATATTCAACAAACTATAAAGTATGCATAGAATTTAAGAAAGTATGACACATAGACTAAAAAAAAAAAAAGAAAGAAATTGAAAAAAACTTTCCTTAAGGGAGCTGGCCCGTTCACATAGTGGTAAAATTTAGTGTATCAAGAGCTGGCTTTCATATGTCCTACACTCCAATTTAAATCCTAGCTCCCATGGCTTGAAAGTCATGTCAGGCATATGTGGAGGCATGCCCCAAATCCTACCATAATGGAAAAGTAGAGAAAAAGAAACTGTGGTATAACCACACCCCACTGGGGAATGCTTTCTCTCTCTGGTGAGTGAACATGCCATCTGGAATTTTAAAAAGAAAAAAAAATTCCCTGAGAATCACAAGCTATCAGACATATTTTAAATAAACTATTTTACATACACTAAAAGTACTTAAGTCAACAAGAGAAAAACGTCTCACCAAATAGATAATATAAATAAAAAGAAATCATATGTAAATTAAAAAATACAAACTCATGAGAAGAAAAGTACAATTGAAATGAAAAAATCACTTAGAGTAGTTCAATAGCAGATTTGAACAAATAGAAGAAATCGGTAAATTTAAAGATAATTAAGTTGAGGCAGGTCTGTGGCAAGTGGTAATGTACCGCTTGAGAACCTGGATCCTACAGGATGACTACAGTGAGACTCCCGGGTCCAGTCAATCTGAAACATGTGCATAAGTGCCCAAGATCCAATAGGCTGGAGAACTGAAGGAGAGGAGTTATGGTGTGACCAGACCCTGTGCATGGTGCTCCTCTTTCTCTTATGCTCACATATGTGCACATGTGCTATATCATGAATAAAGAAACAGAATTCAGTTGATATTTGGTCAGAGAAGCAGAAAGGAAAAAGAATGAAGAAAATGAATAGCACCTACCTAAGATATCTGTGGGATACCATCAAGAGTAACAGAAAATATATAACAGGAGTTCCAGGAGAGAAAAGGAAAAAAAAAAAAGAAAAAAACATTTTCAGAAATAATGGTAGAAATTTCCCAAATGTAATGAAAGATATTAATGTATACATCCAAGAAGCTCAATAACCTACAAACAGAAATCACTCCAAGGGATTCACACTGAGATGCATTAAAGTCAAAGACTGTCAAAAGACAAAGGGAAAATAGAGTGGCAAGTCAGTACTTATAAGGGATTCTCACTCAAACAACTGATTACTCACCAGAAACTATAGAGAGAGTTTGTAAAAGGCAGGGAAATGACATCTTTAAAAGTGTGAAAACAAAAAACTGCCAACTAAGAAATGCATATGACAAAGCTTCCATCAAAGATTAAAAATATATTGAGACACTTGCAGCAAGTAAATGTTATAAATTAAGTTAACTCCCAGAGCAACTTCTAAGAAAAAAGTTTTAAAAATATCTAGTGAAGGGGGTGAGCAGGTGGCATAGTGGTTGAGGCGCTGGACTCCCACAAGGCAGTTATCTTGGGTCACGAGATGTAAGCTATCTATTGAGGATGCCACAACAATAAGACATAAAACACAGGGAGTGGGAGGAGGAATGTTGTAGCAACTTCAGAGAGCAGAACCAGTACAGGAGCTCAGAATTTTATATGATACAGAAAATTTAGTAATTAACTTCTCTCTTGTATAAGCCATTGCTATTCTGGATTCTTGCTTCTCCTTTACAGTAGTCAAACCAATATCCTAATATACATCAACATAAAAGAATATAATAAAATTTACTATGTATATAAGTTTACAGCTAGTCAACAAAGTAATATTAACTTTATACAGATGCTAAAATATTTTATGATAAAATTTGGGACTTCTGGTAAAAATTTGGGGGGATTATGGAACAATTGTACCTTTTTTAACTGGAGACTGATGTTGCTGTTGTTCATTAAGACCTTGAGAAAAGGTTTGTATTCCATTCGTCTTACACTGTTGAAGAAGAAGAAAACACACTTTTAAACTCAAGTTTAACGTTTTTATATAACCTTTTTACCATTCCCACATATTTTTCTAATAATCAAAATATTATTAAGGCATATTTGGGGGCTAAAGGATATGGAGCCATTGTAAGTCTGCTTATTAAAAATGAGCAACAAGGGACCAGCAGTCAGCGTAATGGCTATGTCGCTGGACTCTCATGTAGTTGACCGCGGTTCGAGTCCTGGACCCAGTGGCTTAAAACTCACGCCGGGTTATGTGTGCATGTGTGCCCAAGATCCTGAGAGGAGAATGGAAGAGAACAGATTGTGGCATGGCCATCCCTCCTGGGGGGTGATTTCTCGCTTTCTATCTCTCTGTCTCTCTCTGTCTGGCTGATAAGCACACACGTCCTATAGCAAAAAAAAAAAAAAAAAAAAAAAGAGCAACAAAAGTATCTTTCAGGGGTTGGACCATGGCATAGCCCTAAAAACTAGTGCTCAACGATGCTAACCCACATGGAAAGGTTTCAGGTTCCTATCTGGGTAATTCCCTGAATATGCCAGGAGTGGTCACAATATTAGCACCCATATTAGCACCCTGTAGGAGAAATTGTCTGTCTCTCTCTCTCTCTCTTGCTATTGAAATAAATAAATAGATTTAACAAACAAAACATATTTCAAAATATAGTCACTTATTTCTATAGATATTTTTACCATAATTATAATTTTTTGGAAGGGAACATAAAATCAAAATTGAACTTTATGTTCATAAATAAGTAATTCCAATGTCATTAAAATATTTTTCAGATGGTGGAAAAAAACAGTTTCATTCACAAAACTCCACAGTGTATTTACTTCTTTTTTTAATCTCATGTGAAGTAGATCCTGACGTCAATTTAAAAGCATATGGACTATTTCAAAACCTTGGAAACAGGGGAAATTAAAAATTGGTTTATCCAATGAGGCAAGGAAAATAAAAAATACTGGCAAAGAGCAATGTCCTGAAAAAGAACATCTCTGCTCTATCAACCACTGTCATTCACTAAATTTCTGCAAATGCTATCAAAGGTAACACTGCCAAAAATAATTATCTATAACACAACAGAGACTAAGAAATTAATTCTATACTGTGGAGACATTAAGATAAGTAATTTAAAAGAACCCAAGTTTTAGCAGATTTTTTTTTGTTTTCCTTTTGAAAAAAATTAGTTTTTGTGTGGGGAGGTACAGTACAGATTTTCAAAGTATGCATGCAAAGTGTAACTACAAAATCACAGATAGAGACATACTCACCTTGTTCAGTGCTCTACATATGCTGTGCATCTTTGGTAATAGTTCTATTTTTTTTAATATATACTGAATAACCAATGACTTTTTTACTTCACTGAGGTATACCATTGCATTACCCATTCCCCTTGCTTATATGCATTCTTGTGCCTATAATCATTATCTCTTGAAACAGACACGCCCTCTCCTCCCCATTTAGTTTCTGGTATCTACCACTAGTCTCTCTACTTCTATGCCATTGAGTCCTTCAGTTCCACCACAGAGTGTAGACATTTATATATGTTAAGTGGGTACATACAATGCTTTTCTTTCATAGCCTGGCTTGTTTCACATAGCACTGCATCTTCTAGGTTCACCACTTTGAATTTAATTACAGTGTATTACCATTCTTTATGTCTGAATAGTGTTATCCTATTTTCTTAATATATTCAACAGTTGTTGGACACTTAGGTTTATTCCATGTCTTAGCTATTGTACATAATGTTGGAATAAACATGGATGTTTCTCTGAGTGCTTTCCTGTTTTCTGGGTAAATACCCAAGAGTGGGATTACTAGGTTACACAGAACTTCCTGTCTTAGTTGGTTTTTGTTTTGTTTTGTTCCAGTTTTTGTGGGAGGGTGTGTGTGCTTGCCAAGGAGAGACAGAGGAAAAGTGAGAAACCACTCCCCCGTGGAATGAGCATGCCACAATCCCTTTACCTCTATTCTCCTCTTAAAATTTTAGGCATGCACATACATGCTGGCAGGAGTTTCAAGCCATTTGGTCTGGGACTCAGACCATGGTCAGTCATGATGGTTAAGGTGAGAGTCCAGCAACTTAACCATCATGCCATCTGCTAGCCCTTTATTTTTAGATTTTTTTAAGAACTTTCATACTGCTCTCCATGGAGCTTACAAATCTACATTTCCACAACAGCACACAAGGGTTCTGTTTTCCCAACAACCTCACCAGCAGTTGTCATTCTTTGTTTTGTTTTGTTTTGTTTTGTTCTTTTAGATCATATCAGACATTCTGACTGGGGTTAGGTAATAACTTATTGGGGTTTTGACTTGCATTTCCCTTAAGACAAGAAATGCTAAACATTTTTTTCATATGCTTTTTTTTAAAAAAAGAATTATTTTACTTAATTTTATTTATTTATTTATTTTAATTTGACCAGAGAAGGGCAGAGAGAGAGAGAAAGAGAAAGAAAGAAAGCCACCAGGTTCAGGACTTGAATCACGGTTTCATGTGGGATTCCAGTGTCCTTAACCACTACACCACTTGCTGGCCTCTTCATATGCTTTTTATCTCTATGTCTTCCTTTGGGAGTTGCCTGTTCAGATCAATTTTTTTACTGGACTACTGGATTATTAGGGTTTTTCGTTTGTTTGTTTGTTTGTTTGTTTGTTTGCAGGTAGGCTGTTTTGAGTTCCTTACATATTCTGGTTATCAATCTCTTATCTGAAGTATACTTTGACAGTATTTACTACCGTTCTGTGGATTATCTTTTCACTCTGCTGTTTCTTTTGTGGTGCAGAAACTTTATAGCCTTTTTAATTACACTTGTCTAGTTTTTTTTATTGTTAATGATTTAGAGAGCTTAAATAAGCAATCTTTGCCTACCCCAGTATCATAATGTGCTTCCCCTGCATTTGTTCCTGAAAAATTTTATAGCTTTGGGCTTTATGTAAAAGTCTTTAACCAATTTTGAGTTAACTTTTATGAACAGTGAGAGACAGGGCTCTGGTTTCACTCTTCTGCAACTAGATCTCCAGTTTTCCCAGCACCATTTAGTTAAGACTGAATTTCTCTGCTAAATTACCTTGTGTCCTTTGCTGAACATCAATTCACTCTAAATTGTTGGGTAGATTTCTGAACTCTCTTTGATTCAAGTGACCTATGTGTCTGTTTTTGTGCCAGGATCATGCTGTTTTTGGTTATTTTGGCTTTGTAATATATTTTAAAGTCAGGGAGTGAAATACCTCAAACTTTTTTTTTTTTTAGCACAATATTGCTTTGGGAATATGGGATCTTTTTGTTTCCAGACAAATTTTATGACTGAGTTTTCTATTTCTATGAAGAATGTTACTGGTACTTTGACAGGAATTGTACAAAAATTATAGATTACTTATAGTAATATCGATATTTTAACTATATAGATTTTTCCAATCTATAAACAAAAGATGTCTTTCCTTTCAGGTGATATCTTTTCAATTTCTATATTCAGCTTTTCATGACTTTTTGAAGAATTAATTAACTTTAGCTTTTTATTATTATTAGTTTTTAATTTACTATAGGGCACATGGGCTCAGCAGAGGGAGACAGAGAGAGAGAGAGAGCAAAAGTGAGAAAGCAAACTGCCACGTCTGGGACTTAAACCACAGTTGGCCATGCACTAGTCCATTGCCTAAACTACCACGCCACCTGCTGACCCTATCATTTTAATGGTAGAGATCTTCCACTTCCTTGGTTATGTTTTTCCCCAGGTATTTTATTTTTGTGTATTTTATTTTATTAAGTTTATTCCCAGGTATTTTATTTTGTGGCTATTTAATTTTCTATTATTATTTATACATTCAATCATTATACATCATTTAGTTTGTAAAGAGATTTTTATCCAACATGACATATGCCACACAACAGGTGAGTTGAGAATACTATACATGACATCACCAACAGGCAAAAACCCTTATCTGTGTCCCACAAATGTCTTACATCTCCATTTTTCCCCAAATTTCACTTCCAGCACTCTTCCCCTCTCCCACTCTTCCATTTTATCCCCAGGGTCCGTAACAATTTTCAATGCTTTTATGACCTCCAATATTTCAGTCTCTACCATAGTGTAGACAGTCAGTATATGTTAAGTGGAGACATACAATGTCTCTGTTTTATAGCCTGATTTGCTTCACTGAGCAATAAATCTTTCACGTTCATCCACTTTCTAGCAAATGCCAGAGTCTTGTTTTTTATGGATGAATAATATTCCATGGAGTATATATGCCATACTTTTTCAATCCATTCATCCTTTTGTGGACAGTTGGTTCCATGTCTTAGCAATCATTAATAATGCCACAATATAGTTGTGCAAGCTCTTTGTCCAACTGAGCATTCTCCTGTACTTTGGGTAGACACTCAGGAGTGGAACTGCTAGATCATATGGTAGGTCTATTTGAAGGTCTTTGAGGAACCTCCATATTATTCTCTACAGTGGCTGGACCAATTTACATTCCCACCAACAATGTAGGAGACTTCCCCTTTCACCACATCCCCACCAGCACTTACCATTTTTTGTTTATTTGTTTTTTTGTAATCTTTGCAATTCTGACTGAGGTTAGGTGGTATCTCACTGTGGTTTGGATCTGCATCTCCCTTATGAAGATGGATGTTGAGCATTTTTTCATGTGTTTTTTTGGCTGTTCATATGTCTTCCTTAGAGAGTTGTTTATTTAGCTCATTTTCCCATCTTTTAATTGGGTTAGTAATTTTCTACTAGGTAAGCTGCTTAAGTTCCCTGTGTATTCTGATTATCAGTCCCTTATCTGAGGCATGGTTAACAAAATTCCCATTCCAAGAGTTGTTGATTCACACTAATTATTGTGCCCTTTGCTGTGCATAAACTTCTTAGTCTGATCTAATCCCCCTTGTCTATTTTGGGGATTATTGCCTGTGCTTTGGGGGTCTTGCTTAAGAAGTCTTTGCCTACCCAAATGTCTCCCAGAGTTTCCCCAGTGTTTTTCAC